TTTCAGTCATACGACCAAAAGAAGAACTTTGAATGGAAAAAAATAATCCCAAGATACAAAGGACTGTCCACTTTTCCTTGTGATGGTGGCCAAGGTGGTGATGACGTAAGAGAAAGTGGGAAAGTGTGTGTGTACGCGCAGGAATCGCTGGGTGAAGAGTGTGAAGAGACATAGTTAGAACTGATTGTATTTGATAAAGCTTCAAACTGATTTTTTCAGCAACATTTTTAAAGTCATCTCCTTCTTGCCTTCCACAGGATGACACACTAAAGATATGTTTAGTCAGACGCATTATCTGACCACAGGGTCCCTGCAACCTCAAACTGAGCAAAAATCACAACTCAGTGCACTTAGGATACCTTTGCTGTGAGGATGGAAATATCCTGAGACTGAGTGTAATGGGTCAACTGACCTTACAAACCATCCTTATCCTTTTGGGTCAATTTGTCCATCCAGATTCAACCCACTGAGAGTTTCAAATATCTTCCAGATCCTTCCTGCCTATCTTATCTCCTGGTTCTCAGTTTCATTAAGCCTGTTCTTTCTATCAAGCTACTGCCTGGGTGTCAATTGCATGAGATTAATTGACATAACTTGAATTGAGTGAATATAGCTTGCTAATTTGTCATACACATATGTTTGATAAACTTACTCTATTTATTGCTTCTAGTACATCTTAGAAGCTATTTAGAGACAGTGCATTAAGTATTTCAAGACACTGCATCATTGGTTGATTTGGCTCCCATTAAAAACTATTTAGATACAAACTTTATTTTGTTTTTCCTTTGTAGTGGGGGTTTGGCCTATGATAATACCGTTGTAATCTTCTCTTAGCCCCCTTGGAAATTAAGGTTATGATGGGCCAGATATAAAAATACAGCATGTGGCAATGAAGCAATTTTTCCTCTTTTGGCAAGACAACTGAGAAGTTTACAGGAGATATGATTCTCAACATTGTCATTATCAACAGCCTCTGTAGAAGAGGCAGTTGAACAGCTTACTACCACAGAATGACTTACAAAGAAAACTCCCTGAATTAGGAAAATGCTTTGGATCACTCAGCTCTAGGTGTTTCCATGAGCAGACACATTATCTGAAATTTACACTGTGATCCTTGATGCTATGTTCAATCAGTTACTCTAAAGCCAATGTTATGGCAGTACAAGAAAATTAATAATGCCAAAAATGAATACCAGATGATGTTTGGTTTCCAGTGATGTTTAATTGAGTGAAAATAAAATTAAAACAATTTTAAAATCCCAAGACTAGTCTGAGGGTAAAAAATGAATACAAATAACATTTGAAAATTCAGTAACTTCAGAAAATTGATTCTTAAAACTATACAAATATACATATCTCCAAACAGATGTCATCCATCAAAATAAGTTGACATGTTTTTTAAGGAAGTCCACATTTCTTATTTTTTGATGCTGCTCTACGATATTTTTTGCAGTCTCTTCTTAATAAGTGTTTTCAAATAATTTTTATTACAGTACTGGCATCTCTGCTATGGAATATGTAAGGAATATATAGGAAAATGTCATTTTAAAAATATTTTAATATCAGAATTAATGGAGGGTAGACAGGCATATATAAATTAAAGGATAATTTGCTTACTCAACTGCCACATGTAGACAAATCTCAGCGATTATGCAGTTAGTTTACTAAGCAATATCCCAAAATAAATGACAATAAGATCCTATGTCTATAGCAGAAACAGACACAAGTACTGCTCACAGGTACCAAACTGATTGAGCACAACAGGGAGAAGATTATAGTAACTCAATACAACATAATCTGTACATTAAAACAAATATTCTCAATTACTTTTAAAAATTTGAATTTCATGCTCAATTTTCCAGCCAAGATGTGGAAGAGCAAAGGAGCTGACTAGCTATTTCAAAACAGAAAGGTTACAGTGTTTGTTATATGCCAAAATCATGGATATAATATTAGGCTGCAATGAACTGATTTGCTTGAATTACCTATAACACAATTTTTATTTCCTTTTCAACCTAGGTACTAGAAAACAGTATTAAGAAACAATACTTTTTTTGTGTGTGTAGTGTGGTTTTACATTTGGAAGTACAGGCAAATAAAGGGATGGATACTGGATATAGATTTCTATGCTAGCAAAGTTCCCATTTAGGTTTTTGAAGTCTCTGTTTATAATTACCCTGCTTTTAAAAAAAATCATTTCCAATTCTCTTCATGTAAAATGTTCAAAACACACTTTCTAATCTTACACTCTTATGTGTATGTTCTTTACAACTACCCAATGTTTTATAACTAAATAAAAATAAACTGTTCTCTTCCCCATAAAATCTTCCACAGATAAAAATAAAAATAACTTTAGGTTAAGAAAAGTCATGATTTACAAAGTCAACACAATGAACTTTGAAATACATACTAGTGGTTCTCAGGCTTTAGCACACATCAGAAGCATGACCTGAGGTAGCAAACATAGACTTCAGGGTTACACACTCTGCATTTCTAATTTAGAAAGTCTGGGACACAGAGAATTTTCTTGTCTAAATAAGTTCTCATGTGAGGCTGATACTGAAAGTTAGGGGTTTCCACTTTGAGAACCTAACTTCTGTGATATATAAGACATTTTTGAAAAGTAATATATAAATCTATTTTTCATCCGCCTAATAGCTGTGACATTTGTAACAACCAGGGATGCTGATCACATAAAGCCAATTCTATTATTAGCTAAGTGACTAAAAACAACATTAATGATAACATTTTTAAAAAGGCCACCACCTTCATCACAATGATAGTTCAGCAGCAGAACTGCCTCCTTCTTTGTTAATCAACATGGGCATGGGATTATTCTAATGCAATTGTTTTCTACTTGTCTCCATTCCCAGATCTTACCCTTTTCCCTTTTCTGATACTCAACATGAGACTTTCCAAGACAAATGATCTGAATTACAAAAAATGTCAGAAAACTGGTACCATGTCTTTCTAATCCAGACAGTTCCAGCCAATCTTTCTCCCTTCTTATTATTCCTTACACACGCACAAGCATACACACAATTAAAAAAATAAAAACTCCTTTTGCTGGGATCATGTGAACCAATAGGAGAGAAATAAAGACTTAGACATGGGACAAAAGGAATTTGGATTCTCCCACACTAAGGAGCGGCTCCTTCAGAAGGCTCCAACTCCAGCATTCCTCCATCCCTAGCATCATGGCTACTCTGGGCTGCTCAGGACACGAAAGTGTGGCCGAAGGCTAAAGAGCACTAAACGAATCCCCGCTCTCCTAGAGGCCCCACCTCCAACTACCAGCCTAAAAGTTAGGTCTGCCTGGAGTCTCAGCATCACACACACACACACACACACACCCACCCACCCACCACCACCACCACCACCATTATCGCCACACACACACACACACACACACACACACACACACACACAACCCCCCCCGCCCCCATCACTACCACCACCATTATCGCCACCATCAAGCAAGCTCTCTTCCAGCTGGGAAACAGGGAGTGGGAGGAGATCAGAAATGAAGATGTTTAGAAGTGGTTGAAAGTGAAGGTTTCTTAGGAGCCAAGGAGGGAACTAGAAACACACAAAAGGGGAGTGGCAGATGGAGTGCTTGGGAGGCCAGAGCCCCACACAGCGCACCGGGTGGGTGAGGGCCCTCCCGGTCACTCCCCAGCACTCCTCAGCGCTGGGCAGAACACGGCGAAGATAGTAAAGGTCGGACCTCCCCGATCTTTGCCGAAACCGCGACAGACTGTGCACTCCCCGATCTCAGAGTTTGAGGACTCAAGGTCCCCCCCTTCTACCCAGCCCACTCCGCAGTCCGCAGTGAAGTCGAGCTAGGGTCTGCAGGAAAAGGTCCCATATTTCCACACACACGCCCTTTGCCCGGGTGGGGGGTGCCGCCATTGACCGAGCACTGCAATGCTAGAACACAAATCCCCGAGTGAGACAGTGGGCAGTGGGCTGGATTTCCAGCTCACATTCTCTGGATATTGGCCCTAGGGGAGCTGTGGGAGAGTTTTGGCCTAATGTTTTCTCAAAAGCTGTTCTCCCAAACTCCTTACCATATCTCGAGATCACAAAAGTTATTTTTCCTTTGTGCACCGCCTGCTTGTCCCAGGAGAAGAGGCACTTCAGCCAGTGCCTGGGGCTGCGTTTGAGTGCATTTTTCCGTCCCCAAAGCCAAGGGTGCCAACTGCTGACAGGCAAAGGAACCTGGATTTGCTCTTGAGGGCTTAAAAACATTCCCAGTTAACAAGCTCGCCCTTCTCCTGGTCTTTAACAGCCCAGACATGGGTTTTTCGGAGAACTGAGACTGTGTCCCAGTTGCAGCGAGCTGACGTCCTGCCCCGAGCCGAGACGCGCGGGCTTGACCATCCATTCATTCATGCATTTGCTCATCCATTCACACAAACATGTGCCTTAATTGTGTCTGGCACGGAGAATCTTGCCTGCTATTTTCACCTCCCCGTCAGTGCTCATGGCAATGGTGCAGAATGCAACTCAACTGCCACCCCACTTCCTGAGCTGGAATATCTAGTCATGTAGGCATTCACACACCAAAAAGAAAACGTGGGGAAAAGGGAGCCGAAGAGGGATGGGGAGCTTACTGAGGTCACATTCGAAACCTCCCTTCGGGGGAAACCACGGCACAGACACGACGGCACGCGAGGAGCCAAATCGCTATTACATCAAAAATTGCTAGAGGTCGGGTCCCCAGTAGGGATAAATCAAGTGCAAAGCCACTCGCTCGCGGGAGTGCGATGCTGCCGGCTAGACCCAACTCCGAGGGCAAGCCGAGGTGCTGTGCAAGCGGCTTACAGCCCAATCCGCAGCGCGCTCGCTGCCTCCTTATAGCTCCCAGTAATGTGATGAAGTGTAAATCAAATGCCACGCCGGGAGGGGCCCGGAACGGCGCGAGTCGTGCATTTTCGCTCACCAGCCTATCTTGCCTAAGAATCACAAGGTCACGATAGTGTCGCGATTCCACTCACCGTACACTCCTTGGCCAGAGATTCCCTCCAGGAGGACTGTGAGCAGCCACACGAGACCGTACACTAAATCCATCTTCACGTGAACATGAACATATCCAGCCCAGGGGGGAAGCAGCAGGACCTTCCGGAGGCCGGCGGCCAGGCGAGAGCGCTCCACTCGCGCCCGCGCCGCGCCGAGGTGCCCAGGAACCGCTCGCCCAGGGAAGCGCCGTCCGTCCGTCCTTCCCCGGCGGCGGCGGCCGTGAGCGGAGCGCAGGAGCCCCACACACCCCACACTCATGCACGCACACACAGACACACACACTCTCCCACAACACAATAACCTGACACACACTCACAGGCACGCCTCACTCACACCGGGCGATGGAAAAATCGCAGACGCTGGGGAGGAGCGGGGTCGGGAAGGGAAGGGGGGCGTGAAGGGAAAGGGAGCCTTGATGCGAAGTGTTCTTCAAGGGAGCGGGCTCGAGCTCCGCAGCGGCGGCGGCGGCGGCGCGCTGGGCGGGCGCCGGCGAGGGGCCGGGGGTGCCGAGCGGTGCGAGCCTGGCGCGGATGGCCAAGGATCAGGAAGTGGCCTCTGACTCGGGGTGCCGAGCAGGGGCTTCCTCGCCTGGGTTCGCCTTTACAAAGTAACTCGCGAAGGTCCCCGGAGGAGCATCAAGCGGCGGCAGCGGCCCGCCGGCCCGCAGTCCGGAGCCCCCAGCCCTGCTGTCTTGCCTTCCCCCATTCCATCAGTTGCCATTGCAACGCCAATCCTGTTACACGATACAGGCTCGCATCGCCGAGCAGGGAAGGGAGGAAGAGGAGGAGGAGGAAGAGGAGGAGTGGGACTAGGGGGACTGGGGTGGGAAGGAGGGAAAAGGAGGAGGGGGAGGGAGGAGGAGAGGAACCGACAGGGAGCGGAGTGTGCGTCTGGAGCTCTCCCAGGCACCAGGCTCAGCCGCCGCCGCCACTGACACCACCACCGTTCTCCAAAATAGCCTTCAGCGCCCCAGCGAAGAGGGGCCTCGGGCCGGCCGCACCGATTCGGAAGCCGAAAGCAGAGTCCAGGCACCACCACTGGAGAAAGGGAGAAGCAGGACCGGATCCGCACACAAGTCTACGCGTGCTCACCGGCACCGAGCGCGTCCTCTTCGCTCCCGCGCCGCCCCCGCCAGGTGGAGGGGTGGGGGTGGTTGGGACCCGCGGGAGTTTAGAGAAGGAAGCCGCAGAAGGGGTTCCCCGCCTGGGCTAACGTAGTGCTGGCGTTCAGAGGTGAACGCGGGAGCGGCCGCCCAAGGAAGACACCGGGCTGCGTGGCCTCCGCTCCGGCCCCAGCAGCGGCAGAGATGCCGGGCCGGGCGGCAAAGCGCCCTGGGTTAGACGCCGGCTGGAGTCCCTGGGTGTGCGCGGGGGTGCGCGCCGCGGAGGCGAGGAGGAGGAGGAGGAGGAGGAGGAGGAGGGTGAAGCCGAGTACAGGCGGACGGGCTGCCGGGCTGCCGGAGGGGAAGGCTGTGTGTGGTCACGTTGTGCGCTACGTGCTGAGAGCGCGAGCTGCTAGCCGCAGCCGGGCGACGTCAAAGCCGGCTGCGCGGCTCAGTCGCCTTCCTCCGCGCTGCTCTGCTCCTCCTTCGCCCTGCCTTTCCGTGTCAGCCCGGGCACTCATCAGTATGGACAGCGCCGAGAGGCTCCGTGAGGGCAGCGGCCGCCGGCCTCCAGCCGATCCCGCCGAAGCCCTCCCCGATTTTCCGCAAGCTCCGCGGCGGCGGACGCCCGTGATTATTTTTAATGCCAGTGTTTACGTTTGTTAGCGGAAGGGCCAGCGACCACCTTATATCCGCGGTAATTACAGGACACACTACTGCCTCCCCGCCGCCCAAGGTCTTACGGGATCCGTTCTGCTCTCCTAGAGGGCAGAACAGGCCACACAGCACTTGGAAGCGGCTTCACTTCTTCCCCAAGTCTGTCCTTTTAAAATGTAAATACGGTCATCACAGCGTTGAATGCTCGAGGGCAGAAACACTAGGAGTTCAGAGCTTGGTTTAATATACACTGTCTCTTACTAAAGTTAACTGCTTTGAAAATCTTTTCTCTTTTTGTGAAAAATAGTCTCTCTGGGCACAGGAGCTTAAGAAATTCATAGTTACAAAGGGATTAGAAAGTGTAAAACATCTTTAATTTTAAAAAAGAACTAGCATAGAAATGCTTGACCAAAAATTAATAGGGAAACCCTGAAGATACAGTAGCGGTTTGTGATTTGTTTCTGTAACCACAATCATTGGAGCTTCCTGAGCGCAATCCACTTTGTTGAATAGTCTTCATTAATTCAGACAGCTTTGGATAGGAAAGTGATTAAAATAGCTAAAATGTGTATGTATACAGGTGTTACCAAAGTTATTGCTGTGGAAAGTCTGGAGCATAGGATTCAGTTATCTGCTTCCATCATAGATTGATACAGCACTGCAGGCCCTTCTGGTCCTGCTACATCTGCTAAGGGGAGGGGACTCCAAGCACTAGAAAATGAATAGTCCCCACTGTTTCCACTAAGGTCCTTTTCCTCACTTGAGTGAATTATGCGCATTATTTGTAGAGTGTGTGATCTAGAGCTTACCCTCTGGGTTTACAAGATAAGAAGAACCCGGAATGTTGAGAGTCCCAAAGCTGTCCTGAACCCACTCCGTCCTTATGAAATGCCACCTTCACAAAGATGGAGTTGTCTCACTCTAGGGGCAAAACTCAATGTGCCTGTGGCATTTCTGAAATATCTGAATGGGAATGAGTGAAGCTCACTCACTGGCCACCTGTGGTGATGGTGGCTGGGTTGTCCTGTTTCTGGAGATGTGTCTTTTAAAAACAGATCATTCCTGAATACTGCAGCAGGCATCTTCAAAGGGCAATAAACTGCAACTCCTTCAGTTTACAGCGCAGTATGTATCTTGTCCACCAGGCGCTTACATCCAGGTTTTAGCTGTTCACGTTCTGAAATCATACTTCAGCTCCATATGTATACTGTCCTCTTTGGATTCTCACTTATGGAATCAGGTTTTGTTGTTTTCTGTTTGTTTGGGGGATTTTTTAGTGATTTCAGGACTCTAAATTGAAATGTTTTATTATCACCCAAAAATCAATGTACTACTTGACAAAGCGATGCAGACTGAGTATCCATAGTGATGATTGTTCTTCTTAACCTTCAACATGAGGGCATAAGCTTCAGGAATGCAGGACCTTTCTTTTCTGTGTAATGAACATCTCTGTCTAGGAAAGGACCGTACATCCATGGAGCCCTCTGCAGTTTCTGAGTGAGATATTTGGAGCTCATAGAGAACTCAGTTATTTTACAATTTATTTCAATAGAGGAAGCAGTCAGATGTATCTGTTCTGGCCTAGACCTTATCCTGGATATTGGACATTTAAAGACAAATGTCAGATAGAATCCCTTCCTTTAGGGAACACAATCTTGTGGACAGGGTATGTTGGTCAACACATTCACCACTACATCTAATGACACTGTAAGTGCTATAGAAATGAAGTCCCAGTGACAAAAGGGCAAAGTTTACATGCAACCATGAATTGGGTTATATAGCAGTAAGGATTAAAAATGCACTGCATTTAATATGTTTTGTCTTCCTATGAAAATACTGTATAGATTTCTTTCAGGAACAATTGACCAGTTAACTCAACCAGTTTTTGTTTTGTTTTGTTGCCTTGAAATTCAACATTCTTTAGGCTGTTCTGGCCAAACAGGCATGAGATATACAGCCACACCTGAGCACTAGCTATTAAAGGCCTCCAGGTGGTGAGCCTGAGCTAAGGCTTAGAGAGAGAGAGGCTGAGAGATCCTTTATGAGAGAGAAGGAGAGTAGCGGAGGTCTGGAAAGCAGGTCCAAAAGCTGTAATGAAATTAGACCCAGGACATTCTGTGTGGTCCAATAAGAGCAGTTTCCCACAGGAGCAGTGTAAATAACTTTAAGGATCACTGGCTTTTTGGATTTTGCATGGAGAGTATGAATATTGCATAGAACCCAAAGGAGTCCCCCATTCCATTATTGCCACGGCCCACTCAAGAGTATTCTGTGTCTGGTGGGAGCAGCAAAGGACACTTCAGAGGACTGTGACAATTTAGGGGCTCTCCTCTGATAGCCCTACTTACCTTAATAACCTGTGATAGTTATATTGACTATAGTTTCATTTCAAATTTCTATCTCCATCCTTCAATATGAGCATGATGTTCCAACCCAGGTACATTAAGACAGAAAAATGTCATGGAGGGAATCATGGCCTGGCACAAGATCCATCCAAGGTGATTAGACAGAAATGAGAAAAACTGGTAACTCTGGTGGTATAACCAAGTAGGCAAAATCAGAATATCAGTGGCAATTCCATCCTTTTTTTCCGATCTAGCCTCTTCCTGCCTTTATGTATTATGTATAATATATAACCAGGTGTTATATCCTATTTATGGCTACTCCCTGTTCCCCGGCTGGCCCTTTAAATCACACTGACTCCCATATACACTACTCCCTTTCCAGTTTATGAAACCAAACAAGGATGTAAAAATCATCATTGGTATACAAATAATCTCAAGAATTGTACATCCTGACGTGTTGCCAGACACTTCCTTGTCTTGCTCTATTCTTGGTCATAGATTCCTGGCTCACATCACACCTTACAGGGACTATAACCCACCCTGAATCATTCCTTAGTTGCCTGCACATCTGGACCCCTGGCCTACCTCTTCTATCCTGAGGCTAAACCTTCTTCTGAGACTTCCAAAATCTGTTAAGGTAAGCTCCACTGTTCTGTTGCCCAGACATGAACCAGAGACCCCAAACTATTACTCTCTCAACCTCTGCCTACTGGGCCAGATCTCCTTAGAGCTTACCCAGGTTATAATAGTTTGTTTAAACTCTAAAATGGAACCATTCCCATAGGGTACACAATCCCCTGCCCTGGTAAATTTTCTCTAGTCAAATGCCTGTCCACCTAGTTTTATTTCCTCTTACATAATGATAACTTCCAGTATGTAAGCTTGGAAGTCTAAGCAGCATCACATACAATTGGCTGTTTGAGATGATAGACATGATTTGCAATCAAAGAAACAGAGCATAGCATTTGGGGATTCCAAGTGCTGTTGATTTCCAGGGGTCAGATGTGTATGGGGCGCCAGGGCAGTGGGGGCAATCGTTCAGAGGCATCAGAACCCAGACACTGGTGTTAGGTATGAAACAAGGGTTTTGTTTTGGGAAACAGGATTGTCCCTCAACAGGGCTTTACGGAGAACAAAAAGGGCAATGAAAAAGG